CCATCCATTCGAGCACAAATTATCAGGTATTAATTACTTAATGAATAGACTCTACACATACCCAATAACAGAAAAAGTAAAACAAATAGAGAAGAACACTATTAAAAACACACTACATAACAATGGATATGACACAAACATAATCAAAAGATCGAATCAGACAAAACGAAAACAAAAATCAAACACAAATGACGACGGACAACAACAAAAAGCAAAGTTGGCCATATTTACATATAGTACAAAAGAAGTAAGAAAAATTACACAACTTTTTAAAGACACGCAGATAAAAATAGCATTCCGCACACGAAACACAATAGAAAACATACTCAAACAAAAACCACTATTGGACAAATACAATAAAAGTGGCATATACCAAATGAAATGTGTAGATTGCCCATTGAAATACATTGGGCAAACGGGCCGAACATTTAACGCTAGATATAAAGAACATATACATGATATTAGAAATAATAATAGCAATTCCGGGTACTCAAATCACATACTAAATACAGGACATGCATACGGAACAATAACAGACGTAATGGAAGTTATAACAACGGGAAAGAAGGGTAAACATTTGAATACATTAGAGAAATACCATATATATAAAATAAGTAAGAAGGGCCTACACATGAATGACACACACATAGAAACATACAATCCCATATTTCAAACTATACACGAAATCTATACAGACTAACGGTACCTCCCTCTCCCCACTACCCATTCCCCCTCCTACACTCACCAACATAAAACACAGCACACAATACACCAGACAGCACACGTATTAAAGATAAGCAGCGACACACAGAGAGAGCGTCTACACTGAGTAAGTACAAATAACAGTATAAACATATAAGAATAACATAACAAGACATAACATAAGATAGTAACACAAATATTTGTATATTACAGACAACACATGAACAGCGATAAAAACAAGAAGTGGCCGCTGCAGCACCGTAGATATAGGGCATGTACCCTGAAAAAATTTTAACTAAAAATTTGAAAAAGAAAGAACAGAGATCTTATAGACATTTTAACTTGAATTAAGTTTTAAAAAGTGCTAATTTAAAAATCAAATCGACGCGTGTAGATTAACAAAGATTTTATACATACATACAAACAATTAGAAAGACTGGTGATTTTAAATTTTAAACTACCGGCAGTGTAGCAGCTACATAAGAATACACACCTAATGATGGCCATTTAGGGCCGAAACATGTAGTGTGGAGGAAGGGAAGAAGAAAGAACTACAATTAAATTGTTACACTTAAGACGGAGTCTGTCTCATATATAACTTATGAAAATATTGCCTTCTGAGAGGTACTCTAGTAGGTTTCCAGCGTGTTGAAGGAGTTTGCCGCCCCTTCTTCAGTTCAGCAGTTTCCTCAGATAATAGTTATTTTCATAGTCATCATCTTGATAAACTCCAACCTTGTTAGCAGCCTTCTACAATGTACATAGATTTGAAAAAGCTTCAAATCAAAATATCCAGTATAGAAGAACATATTCCTCCAAAATACTGATAACATTTTGCCAGGCTGCTTGGCATCACATCATAGAAAATGTCAGTTGCCATTGTCACTGCCATGAGAACCTCTGATCTTTCCAAGAATGAAAAGTGTGCTAAGTATTTACCAGATGATTTCTATATGATCTTATGTATGTCACTGGCCTTAACAATCCCTTGTTTCGAGGAAAACTTCCAGATCATAATGAGATTTATAATTTATGTCATGCAGAGGTACTAATTCATTTTAAAGCAAATGAGTGTTTTGTAAAATTGCTTAACAAGTGTCACTTTCCTATTACCATTTGGAGAACGTTTCTCAACAGTTCCTCAAAGAAGAGAATTCCCTTACTGAAACCAACTGCGCCATCTTGAAATATTTGTAAGAAAAAAGAACAGAAAATGGAGAAACAAGATATGCAACGAATAATGGAAATGCTGGCAAGAATCGACACCAGCATGAGATCCCACCAAGCTAAGGCGGAAGCCGACCATAAGGATTTCATGGCAAGATGGGAGGCTGACAGACAAGCATGGCGAGAAGAAATGGCCGCAGAAAGAGGAGCTACCCAAGCAAGAACGGGAGCCATCGAAGCAAGGACGGCACAAGAAGAAGAAGAGGTCCCCGAAATAATACCGGTCGGAGAGACGATGGCCTGCCAAGAAATGGAGGCACGTCCAGAAGATGAAAATCCAGCCTCAGTGGACATGACACCTGAAGCAGCAGAATTACGAGAGGTATCCATAAAAGACACCGAAGTAATGCCGGTCGGAGAACCGAAGAAGAAAAGGCGTAGCCACCGAAATCGACGAAATACGAAGAATCCGACACGGGAAAATTGCGGATCCCAGAATAAATTGGCCGTCGTCAGCAGAAAGGTGTCCCGCCATGCAAGAGTGTCATGGTGCCGGAGAAACATCTTCAAGAAATCTTGGACCCGAGGAGATCATGTGTCCCGGATAAAGTTGGCTGCCACCTGTAGGAAGATATCCCGTCGCGCGACAGTGTCACGACGTTGGAGAAATGACTTCAAGAAGGAAACTCCCCAGGGAACCTTCGGATGCCAGACGGAAAAGGTGACAACCAAGGACGTCATCGGAGGATGTAGATCAGGACAGCGATCGCACCAAGAAGGGAGAATTTGTAAGACGACCATCTACGAGATTGTCAGCGTGAAGATAGCGAAGGGAATGGTCGGATCTTCCGTCAGCCTACGGCAACACAAGGATTGGAAATTATGGAGGGGTAGACCCCCTCCAAAACGGAAGAAGAGACCTAAAGTAGAGGAGGAACCGGTAATGTAAAAGAACCGGCCTCCCGAGAAAGATTGAATGTGAGACGAATGCTAGAACTGGACCTTCTGGCAAGCTGAAAGGAAACCGCTCGAAACGAGTTGGTCTTAAGAAACGAGCGGTTGTAACGGCCGGAGAACAGATGCTGCAAGAGCAGCCTCTGAAGCAAAGAAGAGCAGCCTCTGAAGCAAGGGAACGGGGATGCACCGTTAGGCTATTCGGGACGAACAGCCTTAAGGAGGGAGCAGTGTGACATGTTGCGCAACGGAGAACTCCTCCCTACCCAGCAGCAACGTGGCAACTCAGGCCACAGTGACGTGGCGGATGAGTCAGCGCTCCCTCCCCCCCCCCATCAGCACCGTGACGTAACGCGCAACGCGCGGTGACGTAAGACGGCGTGAGGTAACAGCGTTGCTACGTAACAGGCACACACAGCCACTATATAAGAGAGCTGCGCTGCCTGTGAGAGAGCTGTAATGTGGCCGTCGGCGAGTTCAGTTGTGGTCGAGTTTCCGTGTAGCCGTCCCGGAGACAGTTAAAGTGTATCACCGGCCGAAGACAGTTCTCCAGTCGGCAGTGAACGAGAGCCAGTGTGTTATCAACAGTTCTCCAGTGAGCAGCCGTCGCGGAAAGAAGAACCGGACGTGTGTGTAGTTATGTAATTGGGAGTGTGTGATACAGGGACACTTACATAGCTCCCGTACTGTAAACGTGTAGACTACTGAAGAGAGAGTGAACTGATTTGCGATTAGGGTTATAAAGTGTGAAACCCCGCAACTGTGTGATAATTAACTGTAGCCGTTACTTG